TAATTATATTAATTCAACTGTAAACCTAAAAATTTACAGCCAATTTTGAAAATGATGCATCCTACCTCAGGAAACCGTTATTGAATATGTCAATTGTGTTGTAATGATATGCTTCTTCTAAGTATGTTGTTATTAAATAAATAATTTTTTAAAATTTAAAAAAAAGATTAACCATCCCCCAAGCCCTTAGTATTAAATTCTGTGTTACAGCAATGTGAACATTTGGCATGAACGCCCAATCTGAGAGGTCCCAAATTGCTTGCTTTGCTTTCTACATATTTTGTGTTTCCATGGAAGCCTGTTCCCTTATTTTAAGGAGAAAGAAACCAGAAGAGGTGCAGGGCTGGTAACTTATGGTGTCCACTTTCATCTTACTAGCCAACGAAGAGCCGGACCTGAGTCTAGGCTGGATGAGTTGGTCTTCAGGTCAAGATTCAGTTTGCTGGCACCCACTTTAGCCTCTAGATGGTGCCAGGGCAGTTTATTGTGTGGGATGCAAAATGTGTAACAAAGAAAGGAACTAGCCAGAAGTTGAAGTCATGTCTGAGTAGCTCTTAAACCTTGAGGATCTGGACCATTTGACTCCTTCTACCACACAGCTTCCTCTCTCCTGTAGAGAAACTTCATTTTCAAGTTCCCCCTGATCTCATGGCTTTTCTGTGGCTTGTTCTCCGCTGGTCATTGGAGCCTGTATAGTTCTGTTTACCAGCCATGTTCAGTCTTCTTCCTGCAGTTTCTGGAGCCTTCTCATGGTCCTTTCAACTCTGTCATCACCTGATAAATACGGTAACTCTTAATCTCAGAGTAAGACCCTTTTAATTGTGGAAATTTTTCTTGGGTGCCTAATTGGCTATAACTGTAAGACTGATCTACTTACCACTCTTTTTGAGAAAGTACTTCTTTAAAAAATGGATATAAGATGCATGCATTCCTTACATAGCTCACGTGTTTATTTTCCTTTTGCCCAACAGATTTAAGCTCTGCAAAGCTTGTATAATTACTTAGTGTATCACTGATCTTTTAGAATGATAGTGATGAAAAAGTACCTTAAGAATGATTTGAACCTAACCATCTGAAAATTCACGGAAAAAACATTTTCTTTCAGTTTCAGTCCCACTTGTGTCTTGTAAGATGATAGTGATTTCCAGTGTGATGCCTGCCTTCTGGGCTATGAAGGACAGTACTGTGAAAGGTATGCTGCTGAGCTATCAAACGGAGATTGATAGGGACACTTGCTCTTTGATAGTATGTGGGATCTGGTTAAGACTTTGGGAGTCATTGCATTGCTATTCCAAAGCAAGGTCTCCTAAGATGAGTGTGTGTTCTGCATCCATGAACAAAAACATGACTACCTCTGGCAGTGTAAGCACTCACTGGCTGGTACAGACTACACTCTCTGTACCTACCATCCTCCTTTCTGTAGGTGCTCTTCAGGCTACTCATGGCAACCCTTGAGCACCAGGTGGCAGCTGCCAGAAGTGTGACTGCAACCCCCAAGGCTCTGTCTACAGTGACTGTGACCGTGCATCCAGGCAGTGTGTCTGCAAGCCAGGGGCCACCGGGCTCCAATGTAAGGAATGTTTACCTAGGCGCATCCTGGTGGAGAACAACTGTGTTTGTAGGCATTTCTCCTTTGCATGTTGAAAGTTGGGTTTCCCTCAATATTTGCCTTGGTGAGGAGAGACCTGGTTATGGAATCCATGGGGTCAGCAGAATGCCACGAGTTTCATTGTCCGTTTATATTTTATTCCATTTCCTGAGTGTAGATGGCTGTTGAATCTACCTAACTGAAACTTTACTTGTGTATTTGTAAACTGAGGCAGGAGGGATCGATCGATCGATCGATTGATTGAGGCAGAGTCTTGTTATATAGCCCAGGCTGGCCTCAAACATCAAAACCCTGCCTCAGCTTCCCAAGTGCCGTCACACCCAATAATCATCTTGACTTCGTATTTAGTTACATCAACATTTCCTTTATTGAAATGGAGGATCAGTCAGTGCTGATCAGAAAGAGGAAATGCCCTTGTGGGGTGCCATTATAGTGCCCAAATTTCAGGTCTTTTTACTTGTTTTCTCCATTTCTGATTGGTGCAAGCCATGGTCATCTTGTCTTCTCAGTGTTCAGGGAGAAGATTATAGAATGAGAATCACAGAATTGGAAGCCATTTTTACTTTTGCTTCTGTATTTGTTATAAGCAACCCCCCCACTGGATCCCATACCGTCCTTCATTTGTGCTTGAGGAGGAAGCATCTGAAGGCAATCGGAGAGAGCAGGAGTCCAACTTTGGAAGGAATCATGGGATTCCTTGTGTTTTGTCCCAGTGATGATGTTGGTGCTATGTATAAATGTTGGGGTATCTGAAGTTCTGCGCCCTGCCCAGGGTCACTCTGAGGCTTTCTGTATGACCTTGAGGATGTGACTTTGCTGATCTGAGTCTCAGTCACCATCTGACCCCAGAGCCAGAGTGGAGAATGAAATCTGTCTGGTGGCCTGGTGTGCTCTGCACCCATCTAGGTTCTTAGGACACAGTGACTCATGCAACCCACCAGACAACGGCAGGCCACTACACATGCCGTTCATGTTCTCCACTTCCCTTCCCTTCTGCCTTGTGACAGTGAGTGTGTAGGTGTCTTACTGAATGACCTGGATAATGTTGGTGATGCCATTCAGTCTTTGAACCTCACTGGCATTTTCCCTGCACCATATGGAATTCTGTCAAACCTGGAAAATACAACTAAACATTTCCAGGTAGGTACTAGTAACACAGAGGTGATGGGTAGAAACGTGAGTCACTGAGAGACAAAGAGTAAGTCAGTAGGGGCATGGGAGGCATTCTGTTTGCCCAACCCTCATTAAATCCCCCATGAGAGCTCCTGAACTCTAAGAAATATTTTTATATGATTTTTTTCTCAGATAGCAAAAAGTATTTTTGAAAATGAGAAATTCTTTATTCATTAAGAACATTCTTTTAAAAAAAAGAAAAAATGTTTCCATTTCTAGTCTAACAATCACATACACAATCAATAAAGTCTTTGCCCTACAGTTTGGCCCAAGAATTATAGCTGTATTTTAAATGTATCAGGGGAGATACCTAATTGATTTGGATTTTAACTCACCTTGAATAGTTTGCTCTAATTTAGTCCTCCTATCCATCCTCTTAAATATTATTCTATGTTCATGTTAAGGACTCAGTGGAATTGATTCTCATTATTTACCAACATAGCAACATTAGGCAAGGTGCTTATCCTTCCCAAAGAGTAATGTAAAAACCTCATGGGGATTTTAAAGATTTAAGCAAAGCCAAACATATAAACTATTAGAATGTTGGAATGAATTAAACACTTAATCTTCAATGATTATAAAGGCTTTCTTTATTGAATACATTTTTAAAATTTTAGCATAGTAAGCATTTTAAGGTGAATTGAAGCTTAGTGATGAGTAATTGTGAATCCTTTTACTTTTATGTAACTAATAAAGGAAAATAGAATTGCTGTGAACAAAAGCGAAATTAGCACATGATTCTTTGTGAAGAAGGGAACACTTCACTTTAAAGCAATACAGTAAACACTGATATTGTTTCCTTTGTTCTTCTCAGAGATACTTGTTAAGAGAAAATACCAAAAGATTCGGGCAGAGATTCAACTTGAAGGTGTTGCAGAACAAACAGAAAACCTGCAAAAGGAGGTAAATGCTTTACAGAAAGAACCAGCTCCCCACCAGCGTTCCAGGGCAGCCAAAATGGTTCTCGGGGAGCCCCCAGAGAATCTCCTTGCTGGAAGGTGGCGACGGAGGCCTATTGTCAAATTTATCATTTGTCACAGAGTTTTCAATATGTTTACACATATACAGTCAGTCTCTGGATTGTATCGCCTTCTCTTGTGCTTGATTTAATTTCATATAATATTCTTCATGGCCTTAGGAACAGTAGACTGTATCTTAGATGTGTATATGTGTGTGCACATATCATACAACTTACGTATATAGTACACAATACCTTCAAGGTGTATGTGAGTATACTGTAATATTTGGGCAACAACAAAGTATCTCTTAAGGATGCCTTTCTCAGAACATGTCATTAGTGACATGGAACTACATTTGGGTGCTAATGTGAACAGAGGACATTCCCAATTTGGACACAGGCAAATCTGTGGTTTGATAGTAAATGACACTGCTTATAAATATATACTCTTTTCTCATGATGAGTGTGTAGTAAATGATTTATTTTTTGTTTTATTATTTTTATTTTATGTGTATGAGTGTTTTGCCTGCATGTATGTAAGTGCACCCCGTGTTGTGCAATGCCCACAGAGGTCAGAAGAGGGTATCAGATCCCTTGAAACTGGAGTTACAGATGGTTAGTCTCCATGTGGGTGCTGGGAATCAAACCCAGGTCCTCTGCAAGAGCAGTCAGTTCTCTTAACTGCTGAGCCATCTCCCCAGCCCTGTAAATTATTTCATTAACCATTTAGTCAATTTCTAGCCTGAGATATTAGCCTTGGTTTACATGATAATGTACAGCTTTATGTTTTAAATATATTCTATTGCTTAAATGAGGTAGTAAGTACAGTTCAGAAGCTTTCATGTTATTTAAAGTCATGCTAACCTGAGACCTTACTGTTCTGCCAGTTCACTAGAGTGTTAGCAAACAGTCAGCAGGTAAATAAAGCAATGGAGAGAATCGTCAATGAGAGCCAAACCCTGGCCACATTCATTGAGCAGCTGCAGACAAACATCAAAGGTAGTGTGGACACTCTCATTTGGCGACCTGGTGCTTACTTAGTAGAAAGAGTTGTCACAGTTACCCTGTGAAGCATGTGAACAGATGTGTGTGTCTTGGGCTGGGCTTCCTAGTGTGCTGAAGCACTGGACTATCCCAGAACCTGGAGATCCTGAAATGTCCAGGCCATGGGCTTTCATTGAGAGTTTTCTCACTACACAATTCCCATTTCCATTCCTATTTTCTGTATCGTATTATTCCTAACACTTGGGCCCTAATTCTCAAGCCCCATTATAATAAAGTTGATATGTTATATCCATAGTCATTTACCCAAGCGAGAAGCTGACAGGACTTAGGGCTTCTTTTTGGAGCCCAAGTACATCCACCCTTTCAGAGTAATTCAGTTACTCCAGAGTTGGGTCTTATCCATCTTTTAGCATGCTATTTTCAGTTTCATAGCTACTGCAAAAATATTCTTGCTAATCATTTATGATGTGAAGACTTACAAAGTACAGAATATAATGCAAACCAGACTTTATGGGGAATAAGTAAGAAAATGATTAGTACAAGAAATGTTTAATGAAAAGATTACTATCAAGTGTTGAATGTTCATCATGCAAGGCATATTTTCTGAGACCTTGCTATGTCTGTTCGGACACAGGAAATGTGGAGGTGAGCATGCTGAACACAGAGCCAGTTCTTAGGAGGGTTGTGCTGGGAAGACTGGCATTAAATAAATCAGGAATCCCAAGTTCAGGGGGGTTGTGTTAAGGGATATCCAGAGTGCACTGGGGATTCTGTGGTTCCTGGGGGTCCAGCCTAGCCTAGAGGAACAGAACACTCCTCACTGAAGAATGTTCTATGCTTTTTCATTTTTCTGCCATCTTCTTCGAAGAGACTTAACAAGTGATGAATCTTCTCCATAGAAATCCTTGAAAAGGTGGCAACTTTGAATCAGACCATGGATGAAGATACCCAACTACCCATTTCTTCCCTTCAAAAGATGCACCAGAACATTTCATCTTTGCTCGAACTTATAAAGAAAAAAAATTTCACAGTTACACCAAAATGCCATCCTTGAACTCAAGTAAGTTCCTGAGCATCATTCACAATACCACCACTGAGAATTGGGTACCTGCTGCTGGGGCAAAGGAGAGAAAATGAGACAGGATGCTCATTGAAAATGACCACTGTAAGAGAGGAGAGAGACCCAGCTGACCAGTAAATGAGGAAATGGGTACCTGGCCCCTCTACAGAAAACATAATCGGTGTGATCAGTATCCAGCATAATCTTGGCATACTATACAATATGGTCTGTGCCTGAACAGTTGAGCTCCATTATACAAGCCAGTGTGATAAACCACCATATAAGATCCCAAAGAATTGTTAAACATAGTCTTAGGAAACGTGAGATTCCCTTTCTGGCCTTTTTCTTTGTTTTTTTTCACACAGTTATTACCTGACGTAACAACAGGTTGCCTTTTTGCTAGGTTCTAATGATTATCTTAAAAAGTATTTTAACCAGTTAGATGATAATCACCAAAGCTCTCTTGTTTCCAGTGACATATTTAAAGTATTTGTACCTTTTTGCCATTGTAAATTATCTTGGGATAGACAAATTATGCAAGCTATTTTCCTGTATTTTCCATATTTCTGTGTTTACATTTTAAACATTTACATATTTATACGATGTATTTTCTTTCTCCCCAGCTTCCCCCTTTTCCTCCTTTGAAACAGGGTCCAGCTGGCCTAGAACTTAAAATGTTCCTGCCTCAGCCTCTCAGGTACTGGGATTACAAGTGTGTGCTTGGATGGACATTTCTAGATTATTTCCTCAGGTCTGTTATTATAATGTCCTGTAGACTTTCCAACAATACACTTCACGGGGTAAATCTCAGCTTTTGTCATAGAACAGTTTTTGACCTTTTGCTTAGGTGGAACTTAAAAGGTGAGCTTGCAGGTGGTTAAGACTTGGAGCAAGGTCTAATGATCTAATAACTAGAACATTAGTTAGTGTTTGGAAAGGCCTAGAGAAAACTGTGAACTAGGTGCCATGGGGGTGACTAGAGGCAGTGAGGTCCAAGGGCAGGACAAGAAGGTGACAGAGTCTATGCCAGGGAGAGTGTTGGTACCACTTCTCACTGCTTCCCAGGTAGGGAAGAATCCCTGCCTATTTAGGAGCTTGTCAGGATTCAAATTCCCAGGCGAGCAGCCCTGGAGCTCCTCCAGAGTCTTTCTGTGGGGCCTCCCCTTCCTCCAGCCACCCTGGTCAGTTCCTTCATTCACTCAATAGAAAGGACTAAACCTTAGGTACAAACATGGTCCCAGAAGTTGGGGACACCAAGAGGAACAGTAGAGCCTGTTTGTCCAATGGGAACTTCTAGTCCCACTGTGAGAAGTTCATTTTCTGAATATGCATTAAGACAGAGCAGGGAAAGCAGGGCCGGTCTTCTCCCTTCCCTGCTCCCTAAATTCCTGCTGGCCAGGTCCTTGGGGACTGCATGCTCTGCCATTGCTGCTCTTCTCTTTCTGTTTGGTGTTACTAACCTGATTCCAGAGTTCTCTCTTTCATCTGTAAGTGAAAGAGACTTTTTTATTTTTATTTTTATTTTTAAAAAAATTTTTGAGACAGGGTCTCCCTGTAGCCCCAACTGGCCTGGAACTTACTATATAGACCAGACTGGTCTCAATATCACAGACATCTGCCTGTTTTGCCTGCATGTATGTATGTGTACTGCATCCATGCAGTGCCTACAGAGGCCAGAAGAGGGCATTGGATCCCTGAAACTGGAATTATGGAGGGTTGTTGGCTTCCATGTGGGTGCTGGGAACCAAACCTGGTTCCTCTGTAAGAACAGCCAGAGCTTTTAACTGCTGAGCCATCTCTCCAGCCCAAGACACTTTTATTTTTTAAAAAAGAGTTCAAAATGTATTTGCTAGTCTCCACAGTCCAGTTTCTATAGATAATTTCT